AAAAAAAAAAAAAAAAAAAAAAAAAAAAGAATTATAAAAATGTAGCTCTGAGGACAGTCCAGTAGAAATGACCTTCCGATGACCGTGGTAGAATCCGAGGTTCTTATCTGGATTGTAAGATGGGAGCCCTGAGGCTGGCCCATAGTCCTGCGTAATGGCGTATTTTCATTTGATGTTGAAACCAAGCTCATAGTATTACTTTATACCACATTCCAGTATTACATCAATGTCTTCAGCACTCAGGGCCTATTTGTCTAGGAAATGAAAACTTCTGCTTCCTTAAGAATGTCTTGTCTCTCATTAATGCTGTGATTGTTTTTGAAACTATCTTCTAGGGCAATAATCTACGCTGTTTGTCTGCAGACATTTGGGAAGTGGTGGTTTATCTAAAAATACTCGAAAAAGAGAAACTTTGCATGTTTCTGACTGCACGCTTCTGACGTACAAATTCTCTGACATTCTTCCCAACAGTTCTGTGATTGGGCAGTTTACCTGAGGATTTGTTAAAGCCCTGCTATGTATCCTGCTATTTTATTTCTTCAGTCTATTTTGGAGTCTAAAAATTCCACTACTTCAGTTGAGGAGTCTTTAAAGCCCTACAACATATCCTGCTGCTATTTTATTTCTTCAGTCTATTTTGGACTCTTAAAAATTTGACCACTGTACTTTAAGTCTAAAACTTATTTACACTGAGGTAAAAAATGCCTAGATTAAAATAAAAAAAAATGCCTAGATTAAAAATTCAGGCTGGCTCTCTGAATATATAGTTTCTGGTGAATTTCCTCATCTATAAAGTGGGGATTGAGATTAGCATTCATTATACTGGGTTTATGGGAGGATTCAATAATTGTAACTTAAGGTATTCCTTTTTTTTTTCTTTTTTTTTTTTTGAGAGTCTCCTTATGCAGTTGAGGCTGACCTTGAGCTAACTTTGTAGCCCAGGCTGGACTCGAGTTCGCAGGATCCTCCTGTCTCAGCCTCCCGAGTGCTGGGATTAAAGGTGTGCACCACCACGCCCGGCACTATTGCTCCCTTTTAAAACAGAAAATTCATGAGGGTGAAATACTGAGCCCCTATCTACTACTATTTGCGAGGCACTAGTGGGACAATTATGAACCAGTTTCATCTTCTATAAGGCAGAGATCCTAGTTTCACTTTCCAGGTGATTAAATTATAGTTAGTACGTTAACTAGCTGTTCTAATAGTTCAAGCCCAGGTTTGCCTCCAAGTTTTTTGTTTTTCTTCAGGTTATGTCGCAGGGTTTCTCATCGCTGTCGTATGATGAATTCCTTTTGGTTGTATAGAAAACAGGCGCAAAGTAAGAGAAAACTCACGCCAAAGGAACTAACTTCATGCCTACTTACTCGGGATAACCGAGTAGTTGCTCAGTATTAAAATGCTGTCTTTTTACAAGTGTCTGTTCGATCAGCAGCGAACGACCTTTCTTTCTGGATCCCAACTTAAAAATGCCTAAACTGGGAAAGGTGAACTGATTCCCAAATTCCCTTCCGGCCCGAAAAGAACAGAGCCGCAGCCCCGGATCCCTTCACCACTCCAGCCTGTTCTGTGAACCGCGAGCCAACCACCCAAGTATTGTCCTGGTCCCACTCGATCGCTCACTTCCGTACCCATTGGACCCAAACACCACCCACGCTCGTGACCGCGAGCTAAAGGGCACAACAGGAGCTAGCTCCGCGGAGGAAGGCGAGAAGCCGTTTTTCCGGGAACTGCAGACGCCGGCCGCGCAGGGGGCGGGGCGGGGCAGGATGACATCACGCGGCGGCCACAGCTGACAGCAGATTGGACCGCTGTGGGGGCGGGGCCCGCGATGACAGCCCGGGGGAGGAGCCGGGGAGGCCGCGCGGGCGCCGTCTACCCGCCCCGCCCCTTAGTTTCCGGACCCTCCTTAGGCGGGCGTGCCTACGTCGCGTGACGTCACAAGGGGCGTGGCGTCCTGGGCGTCCTGCCGCCGCTCGGGCGCGCTCGGCAGTCGGTGTTTGGGGCTCGGCGCGTGCGGTCGCTCGGTCTCCTCTCCCGGGCGGCTGTCACGGTCGGCCCCTTCCCGGAGCGGGACGGGGCGCGCGTGCGAGTGTGTGTGAGAAGGGGACCCCGGGCAGAGGTGTCCCCTCACTGCTGTGGTTTTTTATCCTTTTATCCGCCCGCAGTTCTCACTGGGGAGCGGGGTCGCTGGGCGAGCGCTTCGTGTTTTTCTTTTGAAATACTCTTTTCTTCCTGCTGCTGCTGCTGCTGCGGCCGCCAGGGTTGTTGGCTCCCGGTCCCAAGTAACCGCCCTCGCCCCTCGGCCTTCCCTGCCCCGGCCCCCCGGCCCCCGTCCCGGCCCCGCACCTGCCTCATTATGAACGGGCTCGGCGACCTGCCCGTTTTCATAAAAGACATTAAGCCCGGACGGAAAAACTTAAATGTCGTCTTTATTGTGCTGGAGATAGGTAAGTGGGGTCCGCAGCCCGCCCGGCCCGGCCCGGGCTCCCCTCCCCCTCCGCACGTGCCCGCCGCGCCTCCTCCAGCTGCGGCGGCCGGGGCGCACAGCTGGCCGCCGCGCTCTCACGCCCCTCCCCGGCCTCTCACCCTTCGCAGGACGCGTGACCAAAACCAAAGACGGCCATGAAGTGAGATCGTGCAAAGTGGCAGATAAGACGGGCAGCATCACTATTTCCGTGTGGGACGAGATCGGAGGCCTTATACAGCCCGGGGACATTATTCGGTTGACCCGAGGGTAGGTGTGCGCCGCAGGGGCAGCGGTGAGAGAATGCTGCCTGGGGCGGGGCGGGCCCCCTTGCCCCTGCGTGCGGAGTTCCGAAGTTCCATGACTGCGCCGGGGCCGCCCAGGTTCGAAGTTCTGTGACTTCTGGGGCCGCTCAAGAAGCTTTGAGTTCCTCTGGCGTGCAGGGGTGCCACACAGCTTTGGGACAGACCCAGTTGATTTGAGGCACCAGATCCACCCCTGTGGTCACAATTGACCAGTTACTGTTTTAAGTGCTCTCTCAGGAGTCCAGTCTTTGGTAGATTGATACAGTGCAGTTTCTTTTTTTTTTTTTTGGTTTTTCTCTGGTACCAGGAACCGAACTCACGACCTTGCGCTTGCCAGGCAAGTGCTTTGCCGCTGAGCTAAATCCCCAGGCCCTCTTTTTTTAATAAGTCATTTAATTCAGAATTTTCAGTTCTTTTCCATCTCCTCCCTTTTTAATGACTTGAGACTCTGCCAGTATTTCATTTATACTTTCTTTATGTGGATGATGTGGACAGAAATGAAAACCGGCAGAATGTAGCATTTTCTCTGTGTGTCAACTTTGTACTCAGAAAAAGTTAAGACTATCTGGAAGGCTCATACTTGAAGAAGATTTCCTGTTTCCTGTTATAAGGTCACTGTTGTCCCAAAACGAAATGACACACAGAAAATGTTTGGCCGAAGGACATCAATGACAACCTCCATCCGAAAGATTGGATGTAGCACTTTTGTTTGATAGGCTGATTTAAAAAAATGACCAAATTGTAGGAAGCCAAATGTCAAGAAAAGATCTTGAGTATAGAATCTGGAATTTTTGATCAATAGAATCCTCATTTATCCATCCTGCCTATGGGAAGGGTAGGTGGAGTTTGATGCTGGTCTAAGAATTTCAGAGGTACTTTGCTGTAGGAGGTTAGAGCTGGTTGATGCTATCAGGCAGGCCTTACCACATTCAGGAAGTGAAGTAGAGAATCAGCAAAGCAGGAAATGACAGTCAGGACTTCGACGTTTTATTTTCATACACTGACTCACTATGACAGTAATTACGTTCTTTAAACTTCCACATCTTTAACTTGCACAAAAGAGAATTTCTACCCGGGAGGGTGTGGTGAAGATTAGCATAATTGAAGTTTTCTTGCTCCCAGAATTATCTTTTATCCAGCAATTTAGTGATTAAAGGTATTTTACACACTAAAAATAGCATCTCATTTCAAATATTTCATATTCTGTAGTATTCCCATTAAGAAATTTGTCAAAAAAGTAAACTCGGTAGCTACAGTATTTAGGGAGTACAGTTAGCAAGGATCGCAACTTTTAAAAATTCAAAAGTGAAGAAGCTTTGTTTACTGCTTCACAGTAGCTTTGGGAAGTAAATATACCTTCATGCGTCAACCACTTCTGTAAAATGGGAATAAATGTACCTTACTTAAGAGAGCACACTGCTTGGTCTCTGGCCTGTTTTTAGGCCCTTAAGTTCTGACTAAATCTAAGAAAAGTAGCTTTTGAAAACAGGCATACCTTAACGTTTACAATGATGGTTAATTTGGAGTATGGCATGTTTGTAGTCCCTACAGAACTGATCTCAGTTGTCTTCAGTTCTTACAGTGAAATGTTTGTATTTGTTGTAATTGAAATGTTGTAATTGTTCAAGTGTTTTTTCCCCAAACATGCATTAATATTTACTAGAGTGAAGTGAAACGTGAATGCACTTGCTTCCTAAGTAACTGTCTAACTTGAGAATAGTGAGTCTTTAATAATCCATACTAAAGAGACCTGCAAACTGTAAAACTGGGGAATTTTTACTAACCTATGTTAAAAGACGAACTAATGCTATATTTGGTTGTTATTTAGCTATGTCCTTTTAAAAGTCATCAAGTTACCGTGGTAGTTACAGAAAAACCATTAAACCTTGGACTGATTTTATAACATTGACTTTCAGAGTAAACAGTTGTTCAGCGTGGTTGGTACTGAAAGTTGCAAAGTTGGAAAGGCAGGTGGATGAAAGGTTTTAGGCTCTAGTTTTTTTTAGCAGTTTGATTAAGTCCTACCACGTTTTCAGTAACATGGGAACCTGTGCCTTACAGAGGCAGAAGGGAAACTGTTACATTGGTATCAGTCTAGCCCATGTCAGAATGTAAAAGTAAGTACTAAGGTGCTGTTTTGTGTATCTTGTAGCTATAAAAATAAAAATAACTTTAAATTTCTTTTGTTAAAAGCTCGTTCGTTAATTGACTGAAGATGTCACCTGCATTTAACAGTACATGCTTTACAAAAAGACTTGGTTATTTTCTAGGGTTATAGTTTACATAGTGATGGCATGATTTGGCATTAGAATTTTCATAGTAGCAAGTTAATCAAAGCTCGATTTATTGTATTTGATTTATCATAGTAAACAGACAGCTTCACTTCCAGTTCAAAAACCTGCAGCCCGGAGTTTGACTTACCTCCAGGAAACTCACGTGTCTTTTCTCTAGGTACGCGTCCATGTGGAAAGGATGCCTGACACTTTATACTGGAAGAGGTGGTGAACTTCAGAAAATTGGGGAGTAAGTATTAAAATGCATTCCATACAGAAGTATAAGTTACAATTAATGTCTAAAAATGTTGGTAGGTACAAGCTATAAACTGCTTCCTTGGCTTTTTTTGATGGATAAACTGTTGGACAGTTTTGTTCTCTGAGAAGGTACTAGTGTAGTAGTACCAGTACCATTTTCTGTGGTTTTTCCTGGCAAAGAGCAGTGAGGAGCAGCAGTTGACACCAGCCCAGTGGGACCATTTCTGTAGGCTTCAGGAACATGCATCTTTTAGGTGTCATTTGAAGTGAATTCTCCCTTCTAGTGGTTCACCTGAATAGAAAGCAGGCATAGGTTTTGGGCCATAGAATCAAATTTTCTTTTTTCTGTGCATGGGTGAATTTGTACTCTGTGAGGAGGACTTTTGGCAGTGAAAACTGAAGTCCTCTATTTATTCACAGGCTAGATGTGGTGCAGGCAGCCGCAATGCGAGCTTCCATACACTGCTACCCTGCTAAGATCTCCACCCTGGCCTGGAGGAACCATCCTCTCTAGGGGTGTAAAGGTAACTCGCCTCCATGTAGCCTAGACCTTTGGTGGCACTCATACAGTATGTGTCAGCAGTGAGCCGGAGCACTGGTGAATGCCCGTCATCCCGGAGGATGTTTAGGGAGAGAAGCTACAAATGGCACCAGGGTGATGGGGAAAGAAACTTGCACTAAGGAAGTAAGGTTCTTTAGAAAATGTTTTTAAGAATAATTTTGCAAGCTTTTAAAGATCAGAAACTGATCCAACACTTTGTTTTCATTAGAAGGAAAATCAGGGTTTTTAGAGTAATGTTATTAGACTTGTGTGTTGAAATGGTCTTGGGTGGGTATTGCCGAGCCTGTCCTGACCTTGTGTACAACAGAAGTCAGTTAGAGGAAGACCTGCAGGTGGTGCTTCAATTCCTGATGACTGCTCTTTGTCAGGGTCAGTTTAGGATTTCTCAAAACTGGTTCGAGTTTCTTAGTGGGTGAGGACCTAAGGAAATGCTGATTGTAAATGTGCTACACATCCTGTCATCAGCTTTTGTACGAAGCTCCGGGATAAGCTGGTAGTTAATAGCCAGTGGTCTGCCTTTGTCACCAGAACCCACTCTTAACCTTGGATGATTGTCTTTGCAGATTCACGCTGATGGGTCCCGAGGGACGGGATGAGCGTGTGAGTGGTCAGTGTACGTCCATCACACTGCTGGAGACACCCGTCTGGAGCCCTAAGCGGTTCACTACCATCAGCCTGTGTGGAAACCCAGGCAAAGACATGTTGCTCTCCTTGATCTTTGACTTGATTTATATTTTGCAACTAAAAAGGAATTTAAATATGAAATAGAGCATTTTGTGTGTTGCAGTCAAATACCAGATGTTTTTATGGATATAATTATTTAGGGCATATTTGTTGTAAATGCTTGTGTTAGTTAGCAGGTGATACTGTGTTAATTCACTTGATACCTAAATTATTTCTTTAAGGCTGGGCTGTTATCTGTAGAAAATTGATGAACTGTAGAAGTCACTTAACTTGTGCTTTATTTTCTTTCAGATTTTGTATGGTTTATTCAGAAGTGCCCAATTTCAGTGAACCCAACCCAGATTATCGAGGACAGCCGAACAAAGGGGTAACTAATCCAGATGTGCAGTATATTTTTTTTTGGATTGAGCCAATTTGGCTATACATCTTGATTCTTTGATTTGGTTAACCCTGTAATGTCGAGTGTAACGAAGGCAGTTATAAAAAGTCTTCAGAGTAATATAACATCTGTTAGTGAGTCTGTAGGTGGTATATGATGCTACAGTTACACACAGACTATGTGACATACAGTACGTAGTGTCATACACAGTAGTGTCAGGAAGTAGAAGATCTAACGAGCTGGGAAAGGCTTGGGGTATGTCTCTGACTGACTTAGCATTTAGATAGATTTGAACAGATCTTTACCAAATATTTGTTAAGAACAAAATTTAAAACCCTACATATTAAAAAAAGAATATAAATTTTGTAAGCATATAAAGCTTCATCTGATGAACTTAAAACTTTTTTTTAGGCCCACAATCAACAGAAGGCGAATTCCATGAATTGTAATACTGGTGCAGGTACCTTTGGACCAGTGGGTAAGATTTTTATTTTTGTGTATTTGTGAAATTGAAGCGTAGAAAAATAAGGGAGTTTTGAAAGATCTAGAGGAAGCGAGGTACTGTGCATGTCTGTAGTCCCAGCTACTCAGGAAACTGAGGTAGGAGGATCACTTAAGCCACCAAATTTGAGACCAGCCTGGGCCATGCAGCATCTCAAAAAAAAAAAATTCAGAGGGGGAAAGAAAATGTGGCTGTAGGTATATATACAGCAGTACTAAGGGTGAACTATTAATAAATGGAGTCTCGGTAAACTGATTTCTTAGGAAGCAGGTATATTTGCGAGCCCATTTATTAATATTGAGCACATTCTGTATTTAACATTTGGACCAATTACTGGGACTTAGTGAGTGTTGACTGGTAATAAGGTCTGAGTTTGGTAGTACCTGTGAAGAGGTGAAGTGTGTTCTTTTCTTGAAAGATTTCTGTATTCTAGTAATTATTTCTAGTAAATATACAGGTTATTTTGGTACACAGAGAGCCTGTCTTCAGAATAATACATCTGGAGAGTCATAGTAAATTAGTACCTTAAGTTGCATTGTTATCAGCTGTGTCTTTGAAAGATGAGCCATTTTCCCTCAAATGTCTTGTTAATGGTCCTTGCAGCCCTGCTGAAGGTCTTTTGAAGCCCTTATTAAATAACTGAGGAAATGAACCTTTGTGGTTAGAGTTCATTAGGGTGGCTGACGTTTTAGGTGGCCCGTTAGCACGTTTTGGCATAGCTGATACCACATTGTGGGAAACTGCTATCTGCCTGAGAAGGGTGAGGTTTACATTGTTTGGAAACAGTGATTAGATTTCAGCCTATTGTCAGTAGTTAAACACGTTTTGCCTTTTTTTTTTTAACTTCTATAGGCAGTGTGCGTCTTATGTTTTTTTCTTCCCTGTCTATCTCCCAATTTTGTTGTCCATTTTCAGTTTTTTTCTCCCTGTCAGTACAGCAGCAAGTTAATACATTTGTAGTAGCGATACATTTGTAAAGACCTAGAGCCTATTTTGGATTTCCTTCTTAGTATAAAAATGTGCCTTTTCCCTAATATCTATAAGTGTTAATAACATGGTGGAGCTTCTAATTGTGGTACTTCTCTGGCTTGTCCAGACCACTCCTCACAACAGTGATGGTGTTCTGTATTCTCTTCCAGTCAATGGCGTTCAAACTGGCCCTGAATCAAGGAGATACCAGCTTTCATATGCTGGTAGAAGCAATGGCCGGGGACCTGTCAGTCCACAACTACCAGCAACAACTAACAATCAGACAGCCATGACCACAATAAGTAGTGGCAGGGACCCTCGGAGAGCCTTTAAGAGATGACCTATGCCAAACGGTCACGTGTAGTTTTTAAACTACATGCCCTACTTGAACACTTATTGCACTTTTATTTATTGTTAACTGTGAAGAAGTGTGTTCTGTATTGGTTTCCTTTTACATTTTTGTTCAAGAGTGGTTGGTTTTTATAGCAGGTATTAAGCAGCTCAGTCTCCTAGTAAAGAATGGGAACACTCTGAAAAGTAGGGGCATTTATTTTTTGAGCAAAATGTTACTGAATATCCTCTATAAAAGTCCACCCATTTCAAGGGTGAGTTACTTAAGATGTCAGCTTTATAGCCTCTATGAGTCTGTATTCTCTGTAAGTTTTGTAATATTTGACATTAGACTTAGTAGAGATGTTCTTATGTTTTAAGTCCAGATATTGCCAACTAAAGCAATAACCGCCGGAAAATAGAAACAAAAACTAGAAACCAGAAACTCGGTCAATGCTAGTTCCTGAGTGTTTGTGACTCCAGGTGTGACTGACTGTAGTGAGTGATTGCCGTTGAAATTTTCCAAGGACTGAGTCATCCTAAATTCTTATTACCAAAAAACAGGGTGTTTATCAGAATTATGGAATAGAATGTGATCTGTACTATAACAAACAATTTTTAGAAGAAAGCCACAGCTTAATGTTCATTAACATTATAGATTACATTGAAGGGAAATTACACATTGAGGCCTTGAATATTTTGGAGACTACCATGTTAAAGTATAATTTGAGAATGCTATAAGTCACAGTAAACACTGATCTAGTTATTCTAAAAAATAATTGTGGTAGATAAACATTATAATGAAGGTGATTCAAATTGAATTCATGCGGTAATTAATACTCAGTCTGAAGTCACAAACCACAGGTACTCACAGGTACTTGCCTGCAGTGGAACCTTGGCACCTCCTCCGAGCGGGGCGTGCGTGTGCTGTTTTCTGAACACAGTTTGATAGCCTTATTTAGCAAAAGTTAAATGACTCAAATGATGACAGCTTTATTCAGAGATGTTAAGTTGGAATTTATGTGTCATAAATGGTGTGCACTTCTTTTTACTGAAGGGTGGACAACGCGTACAGTTTTCCTTTGTTAGAATTCCCCTCTTTTTAAATATTTCTTGAATAAAACTTGCATTCATGTTAACAGATCTCCCTAAGTTTTGCTCTTTCAATGCTTTAGAGTGGAGAGCCTCGTACATCTCACTGCAGTGGTTAGGACAACTTCAACCTGGCAGTGACTTAGCCCTGCGTTTGTCGCTTTTCTTCCCACCTCAGGTCATAAAATGATTTTAAGTAGACCTCATTTGAATTTTCATGCCAGTTGGATATGAAAATTTGCCAGAGTTTTCAGGGTCTGATGGAGCGTACCTTATAGGTACTTCGGTACTTACCGTGTGTGAGGCACTGCATGAAGAGTGCGAAGAGGAAAATGGAATATTGAGTGACCTCAAGGAGTTCATGCACTGTAGTTGTGAGGTTTTTATATCAAGGGAAAAAAGCATTTTGATTATTCATATATTAATGGTTAAAGTTAATTTGGCTTTATATTTCAGAATACCTCAAAAGAAGTTGTTAAGGATTAAAATATATTTCTAAGATGTGTTTTGATTAAAAAACTATAAATTACTAATTTTTAAACTCGAGGTAGGAGCAAGAGCATATTTAATAGGTCATTTGTGGAAGAACAGTGTTGCAGGTGATTGTAACAGGATTTCGCAGTGTGGAGGTACGGATTGCTGTGTGACGGTCCTGATCTTTTCTCCTGCTCTTGATAACTTGATAACTGAAAGTTACTAGGCGTGGAACTTTTTCTCAGCCTCAGGTTCTGCAGCGATGAAAAGAAGAGTGCTGCTTGCTGCAGTGGTGTAGGACTTTGGAGTAAGTAATCCGAACGATTTCTGGTAAAAAGCAGTCACGTGTCATCTAATTTGAGAGCAAGAAAAAGAATTCGGTGTGGATCATCGTCTTTAACATACTGGGATTAACTTGTTACTTTTGTGATTGACGCTTGCCTCAATAACTGAATCTTGTTCTGTGGTTTTCTTTATTAACAAGTTTCTCTTTTCTTAAGGAAAGCCTCCAAAATCAAAGCCAAGTGAATTACAGTTCATAATGTTTGCCTTACCAGCCTGCTTGGGCAGCGCTCATGAAGAAGTGAAGAGGAAAAAGTTTCCACCTTCCTCCTCCTGGCGCTTTCAGCTGGCGACTTGAAATAAATTTAAACACCATCTAGTGAAACAAAAAACGTTTAGTACAGAAATGCACTCTGCTAGGATGGGGGCCCGGTGCTGAGATGCATCACAGCCCGACCAAAGCTGCGTTGTGTCCCGTCTGAGCAGGCTGTGAGACGCCCCACAGCGGGATGGGAAGACGAAATCTGTTGTGGAAGACCAGGGCTCTTTCCCACAGATGTGCAAACACTCAGGAGCTCCTGTAGTGGACCTACTCACTTTTGCCTCTTCCCTAGAGTCTTGGTCTTCTAAATTTGAAGACAGTTTAATTTGAGAATACTCTGAATAGGTGTAATTCTGATACCTGTCAGTTTGTATCCACCGTTTTAAAAGAGCGATTGCTTGCTTGGGTAATGCCAAAGGAGTGATGCTAAGAGCAAGTAGGTGTGAGCTTAGCAAGTTGTTTTCATGTGAAAACTGAAGCCTGGAAGGGTGCTCAGAAGCCGTTAAATGTTTTCTGATGAGGTACACGTAGAGTTTTGATCTAAAGACCCTGCATTTGCTAGTTCACATTTTATAGAAGTCCTGCTTAGTCACCGAGATGATTTCCCGTTTTTTGGTACCATTAACGTAATGGCTGTTTGCACCAAGCCAGTTCGGGCTGCAAGTGACTCTTCCGTCCTTTTCTCTGATGTATTTGGGGTTTTCTAGAGAGGACAGACAACTGTCGACAGAGCCCCTCTGAGTGTAGCGCATAGTGTGTGCTTTAATCTTGAGATCCTTCCCCTGTTGTTTCCCTTTAGTGATCTAGTTTTCCTTCTTTTTTGTGGGGTAAGAGTTAATATTTTTAGAACAAGCTGGTTAGTCATTCTCAAGTGTGGGCAGCGTGCAGACATTGGAGGCAGAGGACCTTGGCAGTGGTGTGTGTGAGGTTTCCAGCCGATGATGTGTTGCAGTGATAAGCATCCCCACATTTGACAATAATGATTAACAGTTCAGGTATGGTGCTGAGGAACTCTTAATTGGGACCTTCGGAAAACCACAGTGTCATTAATGGTGTTACACTGAGGGAGAAGCTTGAAAAACATTTAACGTCCCAGGTACCATATATTTAAATTCTTCAGGTGCCTCAAAGTTTGTTTTACTGGGAATGTGTACCAGAGTTTGAATTCAGATACTGTAACCAAATGACACCAGGCTTCTAAAGTAAGTCGCATGCCAGGGATTTAGTTCAGTTGCACATTGCCTGCCTGGCAAGTGTGAGGTCATATGAGTTATATTCTTGGCACTGGAAAAAAACCAAAACACTTAAGAGCGTCTGTTGATAGTTCTCAAAGCACAGATCACAGGTTAAGGTATACACTAGAGAAAATTCCAACTGATAAGCCATTAATTTAGCCCCCACCCTTTGGTTGCATTGGGTATTGAACCCAGAGCCGTCACACTGAACTACATAGCACAGGGCTCTGCTAAATGGTCTGGGCTGGGCTTGAACTTAAGAGTTCTTCCTCAGTCTCAGCAGGTAAATTACCATTTTTCCAATTCAGATCCAAGGAGTTTTGTAACGCTTCAGTTGTTAGATACTTAATTTTTTGAATGGTTACAGTAAGAGAACAATTTCATTGTGGTTTTCCGAGCTTCTAGAACAACTAAAGGCTTCGATGATTTGCTGTTGAAATATAATAGCACCTCATTCCCTAGAGAATGCATTGACACCAGACTGTCCTGTGACACCTACTGTCTAATCTCAACTGAAGATAAAATCTCTTAGCATTTCTGACTGGAAATACAAATATGTTTTACATATTTCAGTCATCAAAGTGTGCATGTGGACAGGATAATTTCTTGTTCCAAACATTTGACTATAAAATCAGTAACAATACGTGCTAAATAGAAGTAGTTTGTAAACCACCTAGATGAGTTGCCCTAGGAAGTTGATAATAAATTACTCCTTGCACCTAGCTAGTCCTGGGAGAACCTGTCTGGGAAGCTGCCCTTGAAATACCCTGAGCTTTGTTCCGTGCCCTTGAGATCTCCCTTTCAGCAATTTAAATTACTTAGCTTTCAAATTATGTATGTTTGTTTTCTGTGTCTTTTCCCTACGTGAAGCTAGAACATGCTAGGTTGTACGGAGACAGTTGTGTTTTAAAAGCTGTACCTCTAAAGCACCGTATTGATAGCAAGAGCCAGCTTAGACAAGGGGTTGAGTACAGCCTGTGAATGTACTGCAGATTCTGAGTTTGGTTCAAATAGAATTCCTCAGGTTCTACCAGTGCCAAGGTCAGGTCCCTAGAGTAGGGTCACATGGTTTCAATGGCCTGTACAAAGGTGAAAATAAACTTCACTCTAATCTTCGGTTATCAGATCTAAAACAGGTTTTGTCACATGTCTCAGCAAGCACATCTTCGTAGCACTTCTGTCTGTGCCTCAGTTCCCTGTTACGAGAAGGAAGGCCCCCCAATGGAATAGTAGGTAAAAATTCCCAAATACGTCATGAGCATAGTCTTCAACTTCCATATAGATCTTGATGCTGTTCTGCATGGAGAAGCAGCTGTGTGTTTTCCACATTGTGTGAGGCATGATTGGGTTGCCGCTAGGTGCTAGTCTTGGTTTCAAATATTTATAGCCCTAGTAGAAGGCAGACCTGACCACTTAGGTGAGTAAAGAAAAGGTAGTTACCACCGGTGCCCTCTACTGGGTGGTTGCTGCATTGTTTATGGTGTAGGAGGAAAAAGTTTCGTTCTACCGGATAATGTTTGATGGCATCAAAGGCAATAGGGAAGATCATTAAGGGGAAATTGTTTAGTTTGAGAACGAGCAACACTCAGCGACATTAAAAGTGAATTTCCCCCGGTTAAACAGGTTAAATCCTGAACTACCCCTAAAGCTATAGAAAATACGGTAAAAGTTGCCAAATTTTGTATTCTCGTATTTATCATTACTAGTGGGAAGTATAAACTATTAACAATTGAAAGAGATTGTGGAGCTGCCCTTAACACATTTTATTCCATTACCCGGTGGTATAGAGTCTTGGCCAAATGACTGCTTGCTACTATTTTTGTATGCATGTGAGCTTTGCAGAACATAACCCATTTCAAATGCCGACTATGTTTTGGTGAAAATAGGGTTTTGAGCTGAGAAGATGTGGGGTTTAGTCCTGGACCTGCTATTAACTAGTTCCACGAGCTCATAAAATAAGGACAGTGGGGCGATGTACTCGCTGGGGTATGAGGTCCGTGTGAGCCACTGTGTGCCAACGTCTTATCTAAGGCGCAACAAATGTTAAGCCCTTTCTTGGAGATAAATGCTGATCGTCTCCACTCCATTTGAAAAGAATTTATCACTTCAAAGTTAAAGATTTAGAGCATCTTAGGTTTAAAATGTGGACGACTAAGCGGTTCATTTGAAGAATTACACTTTTCAAAAAAAAACAGTCAAGCAAGGTTTCACTTCTCAGCATAAAGCAGCACTTGCCGTGACAGTACGTGGGTTTGAGTCTTCACTGCAACGCTCTGCTCATTAGCTAACCACCCTGTCCTGTCTTTGCACCCACGCTGGCCCAGAGGGCGAGGACTTGATTGTGAAAACACAGGAAAAGAGGGGCAATGTTTGTGCCAGAGAGGAGGTCCGGCTGAGGGGAAGGCAGAGGACGCCTAGAAGGGATTCTATTCCCGGTGACAGCCGTTGGGGTTGCTGTGTTTCTTACTTTGTCACTGCTGGGACAGAATAGCTCACAAGTACAAGTTCAAGAAGGAAAGCTTTACTTTAGCTCAGTTTGTAGAGGTTTCAACTCACAGTTGGCTCCAAGGCAGGGCACTGTGGGAGTGGAGAAACCGTTTATGGCATGGTGGGCAGGAAGCAGCAAGCTTTCCTTCTTTCCCTTTTTATTCTATCAAGGCTGCAAGCCTATTGGTTGGGGTCCCTCACACCAGGCTGGGTTTTCCCGCCACAGTGAGTCCATCATCCGCTCCCAGAGCTATGCCAAT